AACAAGATAAGAGAGAACAAGAGAGAACGACGTTTAATGTGCTCACAAACAATGAAGGCCACGCCCAGTGAATGAGTGAACAGCATCATTAAATATGCAAGCGAGAGTGTGACAAAAATACTGAGACTAAGATGGCCAAAGCAAACACACACACGAACATGGGGATACTAACGAATTCAACCTGCTGGATAAGATTGAGATAACCTGACAGAACCCCACCCATGGTATTCAAGCCATCTTTAACGAAAAGCAATGGAGTCATGCTGATGCCGCTGGAAAAAAGATTTTGTCTTTGTCACTCTAATGGAAATTTTGGGTACTGTGAGTGAATGAAGCCATAACCCGACAGACAATGAATAGAGCTGCAACACACACACACATACACCGAGACAAAAAGAAACCCGCAAGAATTGGCAGCCAGCATCAGCATCAAGTGCAAAACGAAACGAATGAAAACAAAACAACAACAACCGAAGTGAGCTTATCCAAAAGCCATAAAAAGATTATTTCGCGTATTTCCGATTACCATGAGATAGCCAGCCAGCCCGTGCCTGTGCCTGGATAATGGGGTGGGGATGATGATGCGTTGCTTCGGTTCGTTCATTGATTGAGCATGAAAGAGAGATAGTGTGGGAGAGATGAGGACACTTGTTATAGAGGGGTTGCAAAAACGACTTCTATTTGCTGCCTAGGGTTTGGTGGTGTTGGCGAAACCTAGCCGTCATCCAAGGGGCAGATTTGTTACCGTCGTCGTCATTTCGATATCTTTTCGAAGGCTTCACTGTCAAATGCGAATTGTCTGCATTGCGAGTAGAACGCGCGGTTTTAACGCATAGCGAAGCTAACTAAACACGCACTGTTTTTACTCCAAAGACCAACACAGCAAGCAAGAAAATAGACAAAATAAAACACAACAATAAAACGAAAAATATATTATGCCGGAAGTTAGTCATAAAACAAACTGCAACTATTAAAGTTTCGATCCCCAGGGGCCCAGGCCCAGCAAGTTAGCCAAACAAAAAAAAAATAGTTACCAAAAAAATTACAAAATAAATTACTGTGAAGAAAAATGTTCCCCAAAGAAAGCTAAGCGACAATGAATAATTTAATAGCGAAAAAAATGGGAAGTGTTGTTGAAGAAGTTTTACCATAACTTTGGATTTTAAACAAAAAGGATACACCAAAAAAATCGAATGTAACTGAATTTTTTCACATAATTACCAAAATTCTATTCATATATACTATCTATGTGTGTAAAGTTTAACAATCGAAGGTTGTGTGTGTAATGTAATAACATTTAAAAAATCGAAAGAAACAAATAAACCCTCCAACTTTAGCTACTTGCAATACAGGTGTTGTTGGACCACCTATAATTTTGTGCAAATGTATGTGTGTGTTTGTATGGGTCCCCACCCCCCATTAAAATAAGTATCGTATAAGTGTTTGTAATATACATACAAATGTAAATGTGTGTCCGTGTACGGATGTAAAAAGTCTCCAATAGACACAAATTTCCGTTTTTGGGAACTCGAAAGTGTTTTCTTTTGGCCTGGCCTTTTAATGTCTCTTTATGGACTTTGAATTGGTCTTGGGGCCATAAAAACAGAACATTTGATTTAATTAAATCTCCGTTTCGAACTTCCTCTACGAAAACTGTTGTTTACACTCTTCGCATCAGATTCTGAGATAGTGGGTGGATGGACCATCTTGGACAGTAGATACTGTTCCAGTTAAATTTTATGGATTTTCTTCAATATGGCTTAAATGTTGGCTATCAATGTAATAGGTAAGATTTGAGAACTTTCGTTGTGTGTGTACGTTTATTTGTTATTTTCTAGCATAGCAATAATATTCACAATTTATTTGTAAATAAACCAAAGAGAAAAAAATGGATTTGTTGGTTGCCGTCGGGACGGGATCACTGTATTAAATATAAAAAAAATTCTCATAATTTCTATTTTGTGTTTTAATTTGAATTGGGTAGTTGCGGAACAAACTAGTTTATTGGAACTAGTACGATGACGAAACCATAGGAACTAGGTCCTGTTCTTTAGTTCATTTTTGTGATCTCGTTCCATTCACTGAACTCGCTCATGTATTCCCATGTTCTTCATTCGTTCTCGTTAGTTTTTCCGATCTATCTAGGAGTTGGATCTATATGGAGCAAAGGAAATATATTAAAGAACTAGTTCCTTTTTAGAAAAGGAACGAAAAAGACCGATTCACTACATGAACTAGATTGTCTTCTTGTTTTAATGAAAATACTTCAAAAAATCTTCATAGACATTTAAAAAAATAGTTTTATTTCCTACATGCCTATAATATGTTGGACGGTCAATTCAGAGTGCTACAGCATAATATGTTTGCTTCAAGTCCAGCTTTGTGGTCTATGACAATTCGGCCTCTCATACATCGGTTCGAATCATCTCCTTTATGAGTAGATTAAATATAGAATTTATAAGTCATCCGCCGAAAATAATTATTAGGCAACCAATTATTTATTTCTATATTCCGTACATCAATATTGAAATGTTTGCTCTATGAATTTTGTAGCCAAAAAAAAAAAAAAAAAACTCTCGAAGCGTTCAGAACCATGTAGTCATATGCCCCTCAATTTTTTTCGTTTCGAATTTTAGGTAGATTGCCCAAATATTGCTTTAATAAAAAGTCCTTATTCTTTATGGCGGACATTTTAACTCCTCACTGGGAATCGGTTACATCTTTAAGGGTTATTGAGATTTTTACTTGAACAAAATTAAATTTTTTGAAACTAAGAATGGGTGGGGTACCCTCCCCGGTACCCTCCCCCATCGTACTTTCATTCGCCTCTTCATCCTTGGGATCGAACCAAAATAAAAATAATCTGTTGTAGTTAATACATTGTGCGCTCTTGCCTTAAACGGCAATTTCGTTGACCCCGTCGCGATTAATTTCGAACGAACCCTGTTTATACACATTTTCGCAATAATGGAGGGTTACCACCATACTTTTTTGAACGAAGCCAAAATATTGATTAAAAGAAAACCCCACCTCATAATTTTCCTGAACTAACAATCAGGGATATCACTTTAAAATTAAAAAAACCAAAGCATGGTTAAGTTCGGCCGAACTTTTTTATCCTCCACCATATGGTGCGTATTCAATATTCTTTGAATCGGTCGGGTCCTTTCTATATTGGAATATTTTATGGAATTGTGAGTTAATAGCTTAATTATACATTGTAAAATACCGAATCGCGAGACTATTTTATGGGCTTTATGACACATGGATCTACATTGAAGTTATAGCCATTTCGGTAGACAAATGCGGATAAAACCACAAACTATCGAAAATTGGGCGGAACCTTTATGTAAAGGGACAATATAAAACCATGGACCTATATCGAAAAATTTCTACAAAAATGATTTTTACCCTACGATGAAAAGTTGCCTTTTCTTTTGAAATGGCCGAAATAGAGCGGATCACCTCCCACATAAAGGAGCTATGTTAAAAATGGACCTAAATGGAAGAATTTCTGCACATATGATTTCACCCTCTATGAAGCCAGAATGCCAAATTACTGTCACTTTAGTGAACCAAGACCGTCAAAATAATAAAACTGGCGAGTCAAAACTTTAACCTATATAGAAAGTTTTCATTCTCCAAGAACATGGAATGCCAAATTACAGCCACTTTAATCGCGACGTAGACCATCAAAATAACGAAAATGGGGCTGAACTGTGGGGTATTTATTAAAAGATAGACATATACTAATCATTTTCAGCATAGATGTGTAATAGTCTCCGAAAACCCGGAATACAAAATACTTCAACAACGTAGGGCGATCAATCTTGTCTCAAGTCTTCGGAGAAATTAAAAAAAAGAACAAGAGAATAGGAAACATTGTGGTCCATGCGAATATTGAATTTATGGTCAGCCACCGTAAACCCTGACTAGGCAACAAATGGCTTCTAGTTTATCCCGCACACCATGTATAAAATTCTTGGTCTATGAATTCTGCAACCAAAAGAACCTTCAAAGTGTTCAAAACCCAGCGTAATTCTTTTCGAATTACATGTTACATTATAGATTAGAAAATATTAGGTTGGGGAAAACGAAATCTATTATGAAAATGTCGATAAAATCGGAGAAATGATCGAAGTTGACCGACATGTTAGCAGTCGTAACATAGCTAAAAAATCGACCATAAAACTGTTTTAAACATTTTCTATTGACCAGAAACGGCCAGAATTGGCAAACAAGAGAGGTGTCGTGATCCACCAGAACAACGCTAGGCCACACACAGTGACTCGCCAGAAACTTCGGGAGCTTGGTTGGGAAGTTTTAATGCATCCACAATACAGTCCGGATTTGGTACCAACTTAAAATAAAAAAGACTCAGATTAAGCTGGGATTTAAACCCTGATTCCTAAGGCATCCCAATTTTTTCCGCCATCTTCTGTGGAGTTCAAAGTTTCTTCCAAATATTCGAAAGTTGCACAAAAGAGGTGTACCAGGAAGGAAACTATTGTAGGTTTTATGCAAAAAAAGTCCGTTACTCTGAACTCGGCAGCCAATTACGGTAGTGTGTATGGCTGAACATTTCTGATGTATTATTTTCCATTATATTGATGATCATCATTAAAACATTTTATTTTGAGTCCACAATTTATTTTTAATCCACATATGCTTTACAGTGTACAATTTCCTGGTCTATGAACTGAGCCCGTTAAGTTATGGTGATTGCTTTGCTAAAATCAGATTCTTAAAATTACCTTCTATAGTCGTACTTATTTTCTATTTCTTTTAATTTTTTACAGATTTTAGAATGCCAACCAGACTCCACTATTTCAGTGGTATATAAAATGCTGTCATAAATAAACTACGCCCTCTAAGGAAGCTGTGATAGAAAAAAGTATACGAACAAGTTAAAAACTTAAAAAAAAAATCTGCAGATACAAAAAATAATCTTCAGAAAGAAAACCAAAACCTAGAATTTCTTCCCTGGCAGCCAATATACAAACGACAAACTGTCGACATTATCGATAAGGAATTTTTCGGCAAATATGCTGAACAATCTGGGGGCCAATGTTTTGGGTAAGTACAACTAACATAACCTATATTACAACAACAAAAAATAATAAATAAAAGTATTCGCCTAAATTAATGTTAATCACATAGCTAATTGCTTGTGTTAATCTGGCTTTGGCTTCCCGCTGATAATGATCGGCATAATTAAACTAATTTCTTAAATATACTTCCGATTTGCAATTAGAGTTTCAATTTTCTAAAAAAATAAAAAAAAACTGAAATAAGACATCATTTTCCATTTGATGGACCATTCTAAATGATTTCGTTTAGCATAGTTTGTGTTGCCGAACGCTGAAGCCTCTCTTTTTCAATACCAGGCGACAATCAATGCTAAACGATGCGATTGAAACGATGGATGACCGACTGTTCGCCTCAGTGATAATTACCTGTGGGAGTTTTATGAAACTCGCTACGAATATTGAAAGTGAAATTTGAAAATGTGATTAACAGTGCATGTAAAATAAGTGAACAAATAAAAAATAATTATTACATATTCGATTCTCAATTTACTGGCGCTGTTGTTTTTGTTGTTGCTACTGATGCTTCTGTTTGTGTTTTTAGCAATAATTATCTCTTGATTAACCATAATTACCAATGAAAATAAGCAAAAACAGAGAGACAGATGACGGTGGAATGATTACTGTAGCAGGGTTGGAAGTAAAGTGGGTAATTGTAGTTGCAAGGGATGTTGATAAAAATAGTAGTGATATATACACAAGTTTTCGAACAGTAAAATGCGTTGCAGTGTGCATCTGTGTTATTATTATTTTTTAAAAAAGTGTGCTACTCAAGTGCAAACGTAGTGATAATTGTTATAATTGCTCTTTTAAATAAAATGATTTAAACAATAGTCAGTGCGTCAGTATATATGATATAATTTACTGCAGATATTTTTGCTTCGACCGGCAGATAATGTTATTATGTATTCTGGCTTAATAGAGGGAAACGTGTGCTTTAAGACCAATAACATTCAATACATGTCTATATTTTTTACAAAATATAAAATTCTCGTCTCATATGAATGAAATTGATTAGGTATTTCGGGCGTCCTGACAGGATATGTACAATATATAGAATGTTGAGACATTCCATTTCATAGAAGATATAAAACCTACACACAGAATTTTATTAATTTAGGTTAATATTTGATATTAATGTCGAAACGGTCTTAGGAATTTTGGTCCTAGTCGAATTTTCAAAAAACTTTCAGAGCATAACATGATTCAGGTCAGACTATTTTAAATATAGGTTCAAATTGTTGGTCCCACCGCTTTTTCGATAATTAAAAGATTTTTTTGAGGATAAAATATCTATCCCCGGATTTTTTTATATAGGTCCATATTTTATAATATCCACCGAATATTGGATCCTCCGGACATTAGACATTATAACTTGTGTTACCTCACTTTAAGAGGATTTTTTTGGCATATTGAGTTGTCAATTTAAACCAATTGGTTTAAAAAATGCTGTAGAATGTAAATGTACTATTAAGGGGACCCCACCCCCCATTCTCCGGGTCAAAATTTTTGTTGATATAAATCGAATCTACACCGATAAAAGAATGTCTCTACAAAATTTCAAGTAAAAATCTCAAGAACTCTTGAAGATATAGCCGATTTATTGTGTCAGCATCAAGTGACGGCTGAAGGGCTTCTCAAACTTTAAACGCGTTTTTCTCTAAACATTTTTTTGCGAATGGCGGGCACGATAACTCAAAAACTAATAATCCAATCGGTTCCAAATTTTGCAACGTGTCTCTGGGAGTGTATAGCTCTCGTATGAACTCGGATAAAGCCAATCGGTGAAGATCTTCCTTATTTTTTAACTTGGTTTTTGGTAAAAAATCGGTGATTTTCCAAAAAATATTTTTTCAAAGGTCCACCATTTTGTTAACTTTAGAGCGAAGTCAATAATCCTAGTTCATACTCTTTCTAACACCGTTGGAATTTTCGGATTCCGATGTTCCAGTGAGGAGTTATCATGCCCGCCATCAAAAATAAGGACTTTTCTTTAATTACAAAAAACAACAACAAAGCAATAAAAAAATTTTTTTGTAAATTATTTTTCTTCTCTTTTAAATCTTCAATTATATATGTGCAAAGTTACAAACCTTAACAAGCATTGGTATTGATTTACCAGCCCATTGAAAATCTTGAAAAATTAAAATCGAGAATGGGTGGGGTTCCCTTAAACAAATTTTCTGTAAATACAGCTCAAATACTGGCGTGGATTTTTAACATATTTCTCATATCCAAATTTTTATATGAAAATACTGGAATGGATTAAAAAAAACATTTTTCAAGTTCAAATACTGGCTCAGATTTTTTAAAATAGTTTTTTTATGAATATATTTTTTCGACTTTTTAAATATTTTTAGGCCTCAAATGCAGGAATGTTTTTTAATATTAATTGAGTTTTTTATTTGTTAGGGCTCAAAAGCAGACACATTTGTTTAAAATTAATTTTCATGTTCAAATATTTTAAATATTTTTTCAGAAGCTTTAATACTTGCTTATATTGTTTAATTTTTTTTAATTCAGGTTTCATTTCTTTTCCAAATATTTATTCGAGTTCAAATACAGGCATGATTTTTTCAAATGTTTTTTTAAGCTCAAATACAGCCAGATAATATTTTATTTTCCAAGCTCAAATGCAGGAGTGAAATTTTGAAATATTTTTCTAAGATTAAATCCAGTCGTGCATTTTTTAAAAACAGTTTTTCAAGTTCTTACGCAAGCGTGGATTTTAATAATATTTTCTAAGACACTTTAAAATATTAGTTTGGGGAAAAAGAAATCCATTATTTTTATATGAATTGTAGGACTTTATTTAACATGCTTCGGAATTTGTATGGCAAATATGCACATACGTATGGCGAATGCATTAAAACTCCCCAACCAAGCTCCCGAAGTTCCTGGCGAGTCACTGTATATATATGGCCTAGCGTTGTCCTGGTGAAATTTTTAAATATTTTTCATTATAAGTGTGATTATATATAATATTTTTTTTTTATAAACTAAAAATATATTCTTACAGCCCTATCATATAGCTGGTTTTCATAAAACATGTTATTTCAAACCTATCTATACTAGGATTTTTAAATATGTTTTTGAAGGTGCATCCAAAAGTATATCTATTTTTGGTGCACCTTTAAAATCATATTTGAGAACCCGAAGATCCAAATTATATGAATATCTGTTGAAGACATTTAAAATAAAGCTCCAAAGGAGACAATCGATGATTATAAAAACAAAAATCATAATGTACAATGCCACATAGTTATTGTGTATGGAATAAAAACACCAGACCTCATTACAATCTTATTACATACCATTGCCATTCAATTTTTAAAGTTTATAAAAAATTTGCCAAATACTCACAAACGCACACACACAAATTTACATATGCAAAGAAACACAAATTCCTTTCTCCGCGAGCATATTTTAAATATTTTATTTCCCTTGAATTTCAAGAGAACATGTATATGCCGCCATACATTCCTTTGCTTCTTGCATTGCAGCGGAAAACTGCAATCTCCTCTTCCTCTCAATTCCGCAGCGAGCTCAATATTGTCTGCATTATTGAATATTTTTATACCAATAGCTTGAATAATTTATGAGTTTTACAAACAAACACTGGCCTTTTACAATGGAATAACAATAAATAACCAGCCAGCGAACTTTGCTGGTTAAATGACCACTTTTTGGTCCGGTTGGTTGGTCGGTCGGTTGAATGTTCCTTTTGCCAGGACAGAAGCTGGCTGGCTGGTCGCCATTATCAATTGTTTGCTGCAATTGTTGTTGCTGTTGGTTTGTGTTTTTTTTCGTTTTTTGGTTTTTATTCTGTAATTAATTATTTTAATTTAATCGATTATTAATTTATGGCAATATTTCACACTTTTCAATGGCAATGTGAACATTTTTTTTACTGAACAATTACAACAGCAGAAGAAGCAATAACAAATAAACGGCAAAATGGTCATATGTATGAATGTATGTAATAATATAGTAAATATATTTTTTGATTTTTATTTTTTTCCTGTTAATTTTATGTTTTTTCTCGCATTATTCTGTTTTTCAAACGTAATTAATAAATTATATATGAAAAAACATGTGTGAAAACACTTTGTTAGTAATTAACCCAAAGAAATGTTAATTACAATTGGTAGAAAAAATCTACAATTAATAAATGCAAAACCAAACCCCATAATTTCTAATGAGTAAACTATTTTTTCACAAAGCCTAATAGGAGAGATATTTAATATTACAGTATTTTCGAGTTAATGACGATTGTTCACTATAATAGACCTGTGTAAAAAAAAATCATATGAATATCTCTTACACACTCTAATTTAGAAGCTGTAAAAGTTCCTCTATCCCATATAAAGCGTGAGTAAATTGAAAATCTAAAACGCATTTTCTGCAATTTTTTTTTCTCAGTTATGCCTGTCTTACAGCAAACGAGCGATATCTTTACTGTGGCAACATTTCTCGGAAAACGTGTTTGACCGAAATTGGGGTGGGCAAGCAAGCAATATAAAAAATCTATGTGGGCTATGTAAAACACAAAAAATTGAGAATTTGTTGACATATTACAGACACTTAGGGTAAAAATTGGTAAATTACAAGGCCCTTTTAAATGCATAGGTATACTTCCCAGTTCACAATTATAAGCTTGGACGAATGGGGCAAGGCATATCTTTAAAATTTTCTGCAAAGATGTTTTTCAATCTCCAAGAACACAGAAAACCATATTACAGTCCCATCGGTTCGTAAAATCGTCTAAACAATTAAAAATATCGAAAATGGTCTGGGTGTCTTATATGGGGGCTAAATCAATACTTGTACCGATATAACCCATATACTGCAAAGATTTTTTCGCCAAAAATCCGGAATGTAAAATTACTCATGCTTTCTCAAATATATATGTGCAAAGTTACAAAGACAAGCATAGAACCTCCGACAATCGAAAAAATAAAATAGGAGAGCTATATGGAAAAATATGGA